TCACTCTCACCCATTCAGTCTCATCCGCATACTAGATGTCTATATGCACCCTAAAAGGGGAGACCTTCTGGAGTAGCTAATATATTATAAAGCATTTGACAAAAACTCTTAAAAATCATTTTTTATGCATGAAGTACTGTTTATTGATGCATATTACTTAAAATTCAAGATTACAAGTAAACTATGCGTAAGTGCAACTTATTAAAGCTTCATGTTTGAATTCGTGTAACTAACTTCAGATAAACATAATCAAATAGAGGATAAACATTTCATTTTAAATAAAAAAAACTAAAATATAATTAGGATAATCATTAAGTTCTAACAAAATACTTAATTATCATCTTTATAATTAATTATATTATTAAACCAAAAATAAAAAAAAAATGAATTAAAGAAATACACAAAAAAACAAGAAATTTTAAATAGTTAGTTTGATACTAATATCAATATTTTTTAATGATATCTTCATATTTATATTTTATTCAAAAATAAAAACATTATCTTTTTCTCAAAACCATATAAAACTGCATTATAACATCGACTAAGACAAACAAAAACGAAACATTAAAATTGAGATGTATTTCGCTACATTATGCGAGTACCCTTCTAGTTATTAGTAAATAATGAGAAAATGACTGTTAAGGTTCTAAAAAAATCAAATAAATCATTTATGTCAAATTCGAACAAAATAACATTTGAAAAATATAACATATTTATTATACTTCTCAATCCTATTTAAAATTTAAAAATTATTAAATAAAAACTATTAAATTCAAATATATATTTTTTCTAATTCATAAATTTGATTAACATTTTTCAGTTTTGAAATTTGAAATAAATCGATGACTTGTACATGACAACTCACCCTAGGCTCGGCCCCTACCCACCACACCTACCATCATCCTCATCGATGTCGTTGCACCTCGTAGCCCCATCAGCTCAGTGTCATTTTGGGTATTATTTTCATCTTGACGAGTTATTATCAATTCTTTGTGGGTTCCAATACAACCGTGTTTTGTTCATTATTTTCGGATGTGACGTGGAATTTTAGTTCTCAATTAATTTGATATCAGATATATGTCACACTCAAAGGCTTGTTTTCGCGTTGATATGCACAAAGAGACAAAAATAGTTGTATTATGTTCCGTCCCATTTTTCCAATAAAAGAGAGTCGTAGTTTCGTGTGATCGTAATGTTACCATAATTAGTTCAGAAATATGGCATGTTGCAATTATACACCTTTATTTATTTACGACAACAATCTATGCAACAATTTTTTTTTTACTTCAATCAGATTATTTTATCTGTAACTTAAAAATAAATCCTTTACTTTTAGAAATATATAGATATATTAGAAGAGTACTCGTGTAATGCAGCGAGATATATTTTGATTTTAATATTTCATTTTATTATTTATCTCAGTTGATGTTATGGTTTGGTCTTATGTGATTTTGAAAAAACGATGATGTTTTATTTTTGAATAAAATATAAATTTGAATATATCATAAAAATTTGACAAAAATATATTAATATTAGTATCAAATTAACTATTTAAAATTCTATTTTTTATGTAATTTTTTAATTCAATTTTTTTAGTATAATTTAATATAGGTTCAATAACGAAGTAATTTATATTTGGTTTAATAATATAATTTTCATATAAAGATAATAATTAACTATTTTGTTAGAACTCGATAATTATCCTAATTATATTTTAGATTTTTTAGATTTTAAAATGAGATGTTTATCCTCTATTTCATTATGTTTATCCTCAATTAGTTACACAAATTCAAACATGAAGGTTTAATAAGTTGTACTTGTGCATGATTTACTTGTAATCTTAAATTTTAAGTAACATGCATCAATATACAATACTTCATGCGTAAAAAATGGTTTTTAAGAGTTTTTATCAAATGCTTTATGATATAGTATAGATATTAAGTTACAATAAATTAATAACATTTAACACGTACAATGAATATCGTCGTAAAATATGTGAATAATGTATAGAATGATATTCTTTTAACGGTCGATTTAGCTTCCGATATTTGATGGAATTTGAAATTGGATTACATTTCATTCTCATGGTTGGTTTAGAGGAAAGTCGGGAATTGTAATATCGAGATTTTAATAATACCCTGTAAATATAGGATTTTAAAGTCCTACATAGATGGCTGGTATTTAACGGGATTCCGTATTATTCCAAACACCGTGAGGATTAAATTCAGTGATTTACATTGTTGGTCCCTTGTCTATACTTGTTTTATGGTTTTTGTCCCTCGTATTTTTAGCCAACATAAGTCCCTACTCCCTCCCATTAACGTTGTTCAAAATGTAGCGATCAGATAATATAGCCCTCGAGTCTAAATTGGGACCCAAACGAGTCCCTCTTGCTCCAAAAATCGTTTTTGGTCCCTCGTCTGTATGATATAGGATTCTGATTTTACATGTTTGTGTTTATAGTTTCATCAAATTTAGGCGTTATTTCGGTTTCATCGAAATTAGGGTTCTTAAATTGAGGTTGAAGGAGATGGGAGAAAATAGCAGATAAAAAGACCAAAATGCCCCTCATATGATGGGCATGTGACTCGTTTAACATATCCTAGACTAATGACGTTAATGGGAGGAACTACAATGGGCCAGGAAACATGAAAAATGGACCAAGAGTGTACTTTACGAATTCAAAGGACAAAAACTAAAAGGCTGGTATAGATGAAGGACCAAAAATGTAATTTACTCTTAAATTTATAAGAAATAAAGCTTCATTTTTTAAATCATCAGATTTATTTACAAGAGAAGTAAATAAACATTAAAAATAATTTTAATATCATATATGATACTAAGGGTCCGTTTACCAAATATTTATCCGGTAAACGTTTACTGTTAAAATTCAACACTATCACTTTCTTACCCGATAAGGTTTTAGTTCACCAAAACGGCATTGGATACAACAATTTACCTGGTAAGTGCTAACTGTGATAAGAGTTATCGTCCTCACTTACCGGATAAGACTCTCGGTCCTTGCCTCGCTGTTACTGGGTAAGATTTTTGGTCCTTGTCGTATTCATCCGATAAGGTAATGTAACTTAGTAAGCACTTACCCGGATAAGCATTTGGTAAACAACCACTAACTCTATAAATAAATTTGTATGATGTATTTCATGTAAAAATTATAAATATTTAAATAGTTAACCGAACATGCGAGCTTAATAGAATATGACCAAAAACGATAATAATAAAATCAGTATAATGAACAATTTTCCAGTACGTTTTATATTATTCGACCTATTAAAAGGTCTGTCTATCTTATATCTAAAACCTTTCGATTGACGCGTTAGAAAAAGACATCATAACTTTATTGAGTTCTGATTCCCGTTTTCTTGTTAAATCTTCTACTTCAAATAGTTTTTTGCCTTTAAAAATACAATATTTTAAAGTTAAATATTGTATTTATAATACATGTATACAATTACCGCTAAAAATATGTTAGTTTTTATTCGTTGTAAAGTTAAAAATATAATATAATTTTAAATATTTCAATATTAAGTTCATTTCAAAGATACTGATAAGATTTTTTTAATAATATAATTTGCAAAAACACGTATTTTTAATGTATCTTAACTATTAATTAATTAATTAATTAATATGAAACAAAAAAAAGTAAATTAAAAATACTATTCCTAACTAATAATTTAAATGTTTAAGGTTTTATAAAAAAAAAAAACTATTATAATTTCATTTGGTCAAAAAATAAATAAATTATAATTTCATATTTAAGAACCTAAAAGTTACATTTATCCTTTAAAATTTTATGGTTTCATATTTAAAACTCGTGTATTTAACAAAAGCAAATTTAATAATTTAGTTATTTATTTTAAAATTAACTATTTATTTTTAAACAAACATAAATAAAAATATGGACTCTTATTTTAAAATAAAAAAATAAATATATATTATTAGTACTAGAAGAATACTCCCGCAATGCAACGAGACATATCTCGATTTTAATGTTTCGTTTTATTCATTCTATATAGATGTTATAATACGGTTTTTATATGTTTTTGAGAAAGTGATAATGTTTTTATTTTTGAATAAAATATAAATTTAAAAATATCATAAAATTTCAAAAATAAATATATCAATATTAATATCAAATTAACTATTTAAAAATTCTTATTTTTTGTGTAATTTTTTTAATTCAATTGGATGTAATAACGAAGTAATTTATTTTTGATTTAATAATATAATATTTTATAACGATAATAATTAAGTATTTTGTTGAAACTCAATGATTATCCTAATCATATTTTAGATTTTTTATATTTAAAATGAAATATTTATCTTGTATTTGACTATGTTCATCTGCAGTTAGTTACACAAATTCAAATATGAAGCTTTAATAAGTTGTACTTACGCACAATTTATTTGTAATCTTGAATTTTAAGTAATATATATCAATAAACAATATTTCATATATAAAAAATGGTTTTTAAGAATTTTTGTCAAATATTTTATAATATAGCATAAATATGATTTGATTTGATTATGACATAAAAAGATTTTATATAAAATAATTTTTATTTAATTTCAAGTAGATGTAAGAAAAGTGAAAAAGTCCAAAATAAAGGAAGTAAAGTTAACAAAGTTCCAAAAGTTACGAAGATTACCAAAAAGAAAAAAAAATTTAATGGAAAAAGAAAGATGCTCCTCCTCATCAATCAAACTAACCATAACCTGCAGTTCACCATACTATTCCGTAACAGCCAATCGGAACCTGCCACGTACTCACACACCACGTCTCTCTCCATCCTTTCTAACCTTCACAGTTCACACACACCCGTCACTTTATCAGACCCCCAGTGATCAAGACACAAGTAGTGGCGGTAGAGGAGAGAGAAATGCACGAAACATTTCCACCTATATAAAAGGGGGAGAGAGATTTTAGAGAGAGAAAATAAGTTCAAGATATATATTTAGAGAGAGAGAGAGAGAGAGAGTAGAAGGCAGGACGTGTTGTGGTTTTGCGGTTTTTGCAGAAAGACTGAGGAAGTTGCTGTTTCTGGGAAGAAACCCTAACTTTGAACTTTTTTAGGGCTCACGAGTAAGTTTTTGATGAATTTGTATTGTTTTGATGTGTTTCCGAATTCAGCTTTGTGTAGTTTCGATCTATGTTAACTTCATCTTGGAGTTTGTTGTGAATTTGGGATATTTTGTAGAGAAAAGATGGCGATGCTGGTTAATGTTGTTGTTATTGGTCTGAAACTGTGTTGTTAAAGTAGAAACTCTGCAGTTGAATGAAGGCTGTATGTTGAATGGTAGTTTTTGTTGCGTTTGTGTGCGTCGCGATACGTGATTAGATTACCATTTATAAAATCTTGAATGTTAAGGACGTGATTGGCTATTACACTTGAGGATATTGCGTCATTTTGAGCTCAATGGGAATTATTTTCATTCTTTTTGTAACCGGAGGCTACTTTTGGGAAAAAGGGGGGGGGGGGGGGCTTGAAAAGGTAGCTTGTTCTTGTTGGAAGTGTGGTTGCTGTAGTACTATAGGGAGACGCTTGGGAAATTAAGAAATCAGAGGAAGTGAATTGTCTTATTCATCTATTGTGAAGTTGTACATTCTGCTAATTTTATTTGCAATGATGCAATCTTTAAATTAGACTGTCTTGTTGGCAGATTGGGAGATATTGTGGTTGGTTGCACAGAAGATATCTGATTGAGGACGCTGATGTTATAAATTAGAGATTTGAGGGTGTTGATTTTTGGGATTGATTCATCATCCATAGGCTGTTCTGGTTATAACAACATTTGCGCTGGAGTGGTTGGGGGTACCTGCAGTAGGAGCCATGTCATCCTTGAGCCGGGAACTAGTTTTCCTAATCCTGCAATTCCTGGATGAGGAGAAGTTCAAGGAAACCGTCCACAAGTGAGTGTATTTTCTTTATGTTATATTCGTTTTCTGAGCCAGCATGTACCTTTAATCTCCTTGGATTTACTTGCACCTTTCTTTAGCCAAGGGATCTTCCCTCTATGCAGATTCACAAAGGTTTCCTAAGACAACATCCATCCAACAGTGTTGTAACACGAAAATCCAGTGGACTAATTGATAGTATGTGGTACTCACTTATCTGAAATATATGTGTTTAGGTTGGAACAAGAATCAGCTTTTTTCTTCAATATGAAATATTTTGAGGATCAAGTTCAAGCGGGTGAATGGGATGAAGTCGAACGATATCTTTGTGGGTTCACAAAGGTTGAAGACAATCGTTACTCAATGAAGATATTCTTTGAGATAAGGAAACAGAAATATCTTGAAGCCCTTGATAGGCAAGTTTTATACTTATATCTGCTGCTTCCTGGAACAGAACTCAATTTCTACATAGTCTGGCTTATTAACATTTGAGTTTCTAATCTCAGGAATGACCGAGCGAAAGCTGTTGAAATTCTTGTGAAGGATTTGAAGGTGTTTTCTACATTTAACGAAGAGCTCTTCAAGGAGATCACCCAGCTATTAACGCTTGACAATTTTAGGTATCACCGTGAACACTAACTATGAAATTTCACATCTCAACATTTCCCATCCTAGTATCATCCTGTACTTATCAGTCATTTCCTCATGGACCTTGGGAAAATTGTTATATTTTTGTTGATCTTGTTACCCTGATATGTCTTAGGCAGAACGAGCAGCTTTCAAAGTATGGGGACACCAAATCAGCACGAAGCATTATGCTGGTTGAGCTGAAAAAGCTGATAGAAGCAAACCCGTTGTTCCGAGAGAAGCTTGCATTTCCCGTATTTAAGGCTTCACGACTGCGGACATTGATAAATCAGAGGTCTTGTGCCCTATCATCTTACTTATGATTCTGCATTCTTAAATATTGTTACTTTGAATTTCTCTATGAGAAATAGTTATTGAAATGTGTGATTATTATTCATTTCATTTTCAATTACCAAGGGGATGCACTTCTACGTCATAAGGTCGGGTTCACCCCATTCAAATTAATCCTTTTTTCCCTGTTTGCGGTTCTATTACTATCAAGTGTTAACTATCTGTTAATTTACTATCAAAATGGCTCTGTTTAACAAAGACTTGTGCTGTGTATTTATAAATAAAGATGTACTAATTATAATTGCTGCTGTTGGTTAGTAACCTAGTCACTTACTAGTTGCCTTATTACTTTACAGAATCCCTGTACTTTCTCTTCTTTTTCTGTTTTCTTATAAGCTGTTCTTGCTGCTAAAGTGTTCATCTTTGAATTGGTATTGCTGGAGTTTTCAGTCTTAATTGGCAGCATCAACTTTGCAAGAATCCACGTCCGAATCCTGATATTAAAACTCTTTTTACTGATCATACCTGTGCTTCTAATAATGGAGGTCGTGCTCCTCCCCCTACCAACAGTTCCCTTGCTGGACCTGTTCCTAAAGCCGGGGTATTTCCTACTATTGGAGCGCATGGTGTAAGTGTGGATGAATCCTTCTGTCTTAGTGTAAATATTGCCATGGCCCAGGGCAATATATTTAAAACAATTTCTTCTATGCAGCCGTTCCAGCCTGTTGTTTCTCCTTCTGCTGGTGCAATTGCTGGGTGGATGGCTACTGCTAATCCTTCCATGCCTCACACTGCTGTTGCAGCTGGACCTCCTGGCCTGGTGCAGCCTCCAGTTGCAGGTTATGTTTGCTTCAGCTTTCATTACATCTTTTGTCATTCTATGATGTACGTTAATCGGATCACTTGTGTCATTCAATTGATGTTTTGCTATTACATTTGCAGCTGCATTCCTGAAGCATCCACGGACACCTCCAGGTGCTCCTGGATTGGAATATCAAATGGCTGATTCAGAGCACTTAATGAAACGTGTACGTGTTGGCCCATCTGATGAGGTATGCCATGCATGTCTGCCATTACATTTTTCTGGTGACATGCTCTTATTGTTCGAGTTCAGTGCTTTGTAGTTATTGTTCCTTCCATGCTAACATGATCTAATTTGTCAAATAGGTGTCCTTCTCTGGTTCAACTCATCCCCCCAATATATATTCACCAGATGATCTCCCAAAAACTGTGGTTCGGGCCCTTAACCAGGGTTCCAATGCCATGTGCATGGACTTTCATCCTCAACAGCAGACTATTCTCTTAGGTTGATCTCCAATCTATTGGTTTCAATCCTGATTGGTTAATTTGATTTAATGTGCTGTATCCTTCCTTTAGAAATTTAAATTTGTGAAAAGAGATAAGGAGATTGTTTACTGCTAACCACGCATGGGTTGATTTTTAAAAATGCCTTGCAGTTGGAACAAATGTTGGTGAAATAAGCATTTGGGAGGTTGGATCTCGAGAAAGGATGGTGCATAAACCCTTCAAGGTTTGGGATATATCTGCTTGCTCTATGCCATTTCAGGTAAGGATCCTTTTGCATTGGCTTTCCATATTATTACACTTGTAGGGTGTTTTATTTGTGTTAATAGATGCATGTCTTTTGTTTACAGCATCATTCTTAAGATTTGTGATTGATCTAAAAATCTAATATGAATGATGATTAACATCTTGTCCAGACAACTTTGGTAAAGGATGCAGCAGTATCTGTTAATCGATGCATATGGGGACCAGATGGATCAATACTTGGTATAGTTCAAAATCCTATTATCTATCATAAAAAATTCTAGATACTTTCTTATTATTTTGTCGGGTATATTCCTGTTGATTTTTTCCCTGCCATAGGTGTTGCCTTCTCCAAGCATATCGTTCAGATATATACGTACAATCCATCAGGGGAGTTAAGGCAGCACTTGGAAGTAAACCCTCCATCTTTTTATTCTTCTTTCTTTCTTTCTTTCTCTTTCTTGACACTTTGATTCTTATGTTTTGGTGGATCTTGCATATTACAGATAGATGCCCATGTCGGTGGTGTAAATGATATTGCTTTTGCTCATCCTAATAAGCAACTGTGTATTGTCACATGTGGCGATGATAAGACCATTAAGGTACAATTATCCTCAACAAGAAAATTTCTGGGTCACTCATATAATTAGTTCCTGCATCCTTGGTAATAGGTATGGGATGCTGTAGCTGGACGCAGGCAGTATACTTTTGAGGGTCATGAGGCTCCTGTATATTCCGTCTGTCCTCACTACAAAGAACAAATACAGGTAAGTCTTCTTTCATACTTTTATCCTCACTAATTTTGCTGAGATCTGATAAACATTACATTTGTTACATCCAGCGTTCAAAAAGGCACACGCCATAGCGTGCGCCATGGTGCAAGAAGCGTCTCCGCCGTTACGAAATGACCCATAGCATTTCTGTAAGGCGTGGCTCACGCCATGGCGTCTTCAGGCGAGCGTTTTTTGTAAGACGTGATTTTTTTTCCAAAAAAAATATTTTATTTTTATTTTTTATCTTTTGTGTTTTTACACTTTTAACTTTAGATTTTAGACTTTTATAGATCTAACTAATCCCATCACTCACAGAAACGTTACAGACTCACGGTTGAAATGAAGTTGTAAAATTACCTTTCTAAGTTCTATTTTAAATATTTAATCGAAAAATTTCTTTCTATAATAATAATCTATATGATTTTTCTTCTTCTAATATGGATGTACATTTTTAATCATTATCTGATTAGATAATGTATAGAAAACATATATCTATATATAATTCTATATATGACATTCAAATTTGCCGTCTTATGTCACTCCTTGAAAAACGCCGTGTCCTCGCTGTGGCGTGTAAGGCTTGAGGCTTGACCTCACCGTCACGCCACGCCTCACGCTTTTTTGAACCTTGGTTATATCCCAAAGTATTGAGTGAACAATGATATCCACATGTGATCACCTAAACAGTACAATCCGTTCTCTGTGTAGTTTATTTTCTCTACTGCAATTGATGGGAAAATCAAAGCTTGGCTCTATGATTGTTTGGGGTCGAGAGTAGATTATGATGCCCCTGGCCTTTGGTGCACGACAATGGCATATAGCGCTGATGGAACCAGGTCTTACTCGAATAGCCTTTATAAATTATTCTTTTGATTCAAAAATTGTATTCCTCTCTGGGTTTCGTTTGAAGCTATGCGACTAGAAATTGATCCCTATGACCGAAGTTATATACTCTATAACATAGGACTTATCCACACAAGTAACGGAGAACATACGAAAGCTTTGGAATATTATTTTCGAGCKCTCGAACGAAACCCATTCTTACCACAATGGAATGGACGTGGGAGTAAATTGAATCAAAAAATGATAGATAATATCCCGGTATACGGTCTTCAAATTATATCATGTTTGCCTATGCTTGCTAATTGCTATTGTTTTCATGTATACGCTTTTATTTGGTAGTTATTGAAGTCATCGTTATTGGGGGCAATCTGATTGGTTTTATGTAAACTAGTCATCTTGTTTTTAGTAGCTGGTCACTGCTGTCTAGTCGTCAACCCTTTTTACAGAGTTTCCTCTTACGGGTAAGGTCCTGCATTGTTTTTGTACAAGTGTTTATAGAAGGTACAATGCAGGTAAAGAAGTGCTAGGAGAAGTGAGTGCAATACTTCACAGTGAAGTAGGATGTATAGAAGTTGGTGTTGCAGACCTTAACCTGAAAATTGTTATCTTGGAAGAACTTGAGGCTAAAAGGAGAAACCCGTTTTGGACCAGCGAAAAAATGCTCGTTGCTAGTTCATTCTAGAAGGTGACAGTTGGATGAATGACCCTGTCACTCGATGTCCTCCTCTCCACGTCTAAGGACACCTTTGGCAAAGCAAATCCCTTCACCTTTTTTGCTTGTCGGAGATATTCTGCAGGGCTTCATGCAAGATGCTTGGCTTATCCTAACCATGTTTCTTTGCATGTTTCCTGAATTAAGAACATCCTCTTACTGTAGACTATGGCTGGAGGTTTCCCTTATTTGAAATGTTAAGAGACATGGAACATTTAGGAGGTTTCACCAGGGTTTCTTATTATCTAGGTTTCCATTATTTGAAATGTTGAAAAGTGGCATGGAACATTAGGAGGTTGCATTGGGGTTTCTTATAATCTATTAAGCTATTGGGAGTGGGTGTTCTTGTCGTCTATGATTTCACCTTGTTTTGCCTTCCAATTTGGAGGGGAAGGGAGGGGGGGGGGATATTCTAGGACGGCACTGCCTGACCCCTGAGACCAAGGGCTCCCTTTCCTATTTATCCCAATGACACGTCAACTATACCCTACACTTACAATTATCATTCATCAACAGATGTGTTCCCATGAGGTTTCCTTGTTATGGGAGATGACTTTGATTGATTGATGATAAGCAGCGGGGTGGCGACAGTCAGGAGGGTCGACAAGGAGCGTGCCTTTTGGTTTATGTACATGTCCTTTGGTCCAACCAATCTTGTTCTTACTATGTTTAGTGACGCTTACTTTCTCTCATGCTTGTTTCAATTTTTTTTTCTTATATACTTGCCTGTACTACTTTTACAAAGCTCTTGGTGCTCTGACAAGCTGTCTGGGTCTTCAAAATCTTTGCAAAAACTTCGTTCCAAAAACTTTTCTTGAGCCATGGTGTCCATGGAAACATCCTCTCCATCCCTTGGGATCGAGGTAATGTCTGCATAGATCCTTACCCGTTCGGTTTGGTTTTCAGCAGGGGTTCTGTAATAAAACAAGTATATAGAATAAGTAATGACAAGCAATTTCACCTTTTTTTAAGTAAACCGTGATAGAAGGCCGCTCTGTAATAACTCGTGGCTAGTTTCTTTATCTTGGCACAGCTAGATTGATTAAATCCCCTGTTTATGTGTTCTAAACAATTCCATATTGGAAAAGATGATAGCGTCTTGGTTTATGGCTATCATTCCAAATTACATTTTCCAATTTCCTTCAAAATGTGGCTTTGTGTTATTAACTTTGTCTATCACATCATCCTTTATCCATTTTATTGTCCCAACTTCTTGTCCTTACATTAATATGGTAATCTAAGAAGCAAGTGTTTACTGGTTCTCAACTCTAATGCACTATTATCTCAGACTATTCTCTTGTGGAACAAGCAAAGAAGGTGAAGCACACTTGGTTGAGTGGAATGAGAGTGAAGGAGCTATCAAGAGGGAATATTCTGGTTTTAGAAAGCGGTCTATGGGGGTAGTACAGTTTGACACAACAAGAAATCGTTTCTTAGCTGCTGGTGACGAGTTTCAAATAAAGTTTTGGGACATGGATAGTATCAATATGCTGACAGTTACCGATGCAGATGATGGATTGCCTGTGAGCATACTTTACCACCTCCATTTCATTAGTAACTTATCTTATAGTCCTTTAATGACAAGATGGGTGTCATAATTATGATGTTCACGAATGTGCACATGTTAATTCGTTAAGCTTGAACACTTCTGCTTTTGTTTCATATAAATTTGTGGCTCTTGGAGTTCATATATTATTTTGGAAAACACAAGTTACACATATACGCTACACATGTGTGCATGTATGAACGTGCAAAAATACATATTATTAGCTCTAACAAATGTTGTACAGTAGTATATGATGTAAAATATCTTCCTAGTACATGCTCATCACACAAATCCAGTAATAATAATGATTATGTTGGCTAAGGATTCTTTCTTTCTGGGTAAGTGACATTCTTTACACAAATGAATAGAAGGAACTTGTGATGCTTGTGTTTTGGATGGAGTAGATGGTAAGTAATTGGAGTCTTACCTGCTTAATATGTTGCAGGCAAGGCCTAGATTAAGGTTTAACAAGGAAGGATCGTTACTGGCAGTCACCACAAGCGACAACGGAATTAAAATCTTGGCAAATGGTGATGGGTTGCGCATGCTACGGATGCTAGAGAGTCGAGCGTATGAGGGGTCTCGAGCATTTTCTGATACAGTCAAAGTAGTTTGCTTTACCTCATATAACTGATTTTTCTTTTGAATCAATGGATTTATCTAATTACTCCCTTGAAACTTCCTTTGCAGCCTTCAATCCCTGGTCCATTGGGTCCTATCCCTAATGCCTCTTCATCTATGGCATCAGTTGTAGAACGTGATAGAATGCAAACTCCATTATCCATCGGCAATCTTGTAAGTTGTCCGCTTTGACCATCAACCATGATTTAATGATGTCGACAGTCGGCTTATAATCCAGCAAATGTGTACATTACAGGCTAATGCAGAAAGCAGTAAGGTTGTGGATATTAAACCAAGAATTGTGGATGGTGCTGACAAGATTAAAAGCTGGAAGCTCCCTGATATAGTTGATTCTTCTCACCTCAAACCTCTACGGTTGCCTGATCCAATGGCTGCCAGCAAGGTGTGTTCCATATAGCTTTGTTTGGCTTATTCACCACAAGATATGCTATGTTCAGAAGGGATATGTTCCCTCTATCTCATAAAGATTGCATCATTATCTACTTTGGGGGTTTCCTTATTGCTACACTTCCTTTTTTCAGAATTTAATTAAAGTGTATGAGTAGGATCTATATACCCCTATACTTTTAAATATAGAAGTAGCTCGAGTCTTGACCTCTGAGGTCCACCAGGAATAAATTTTTACCTTATTTTTTCTGGTAAGGTATCGAATATACCACTATCCCCAAACATGTATTGTGAGGGGATTATGTAGGACTATTTACCCCGTTGGTAGACAACTGGTTTTACTAATATGGGTCAATCCACTATTGGAATTGGTGGGATGAAGTAACTGGGATAATCTTTATTATGTTTTTTTACCTGCTGCATGGTGCAAACCATGTGATTATGACTCTATTTCCTTGGTTATTGTGCAAAAAATGTCAGCATTTCATCAGTTATCAACTCCAGTTCCAATTATCTTTGTTTATTAGCCATCTTTGTCTAGTTTGAGATATTTAACTTAGACCTGTTGCTTCAGGTTATGCGGCTGATCTATACAAATTCTGGGTTGGCTTTGCTTGCACTTGCTTCAAGTGCCATTCATAAGCTCTGGAAATGGCAACGAAGTGAACGCAATCCATCTGGAAAGGTTTGTGGGCCTGATGAACATTTCTGATTAACATACTAAAGCATTTGTTGAATTTATAATTGCTCCTTGTACATGTTCAGTCAACTGCATCTATCGTCCCACAATTGTGGCAACCTACAAATGGAGCTCTCATGTCTAATGATGTAAGTGAGAGTAAACCAGCTGAAGAGTCAGCAGCATGCATTGCTTTGTCTAAGAATGATTCTTATGTCATGTCTGCCTCTGGTGGGAAAGTCTCCTTGTTCAACATGATGACTTTCAAGGTATGTCTGCATTGTTTATAATGGTCCTGTGAGCCAAAAAAATAGATATCTTTAATTTTATGTTATTTTGCATTTCTGAAATACCAATATAGAATGCGTTACTGTCAAATAGTTAACTGATCTGGCCAAACTTCAGGTCATGACAACTTTCATGCCCCCGCCACCTGCAGCCACCTACTTGGCTTTCCATCCTCAAGACAACAATATCGTTGCCATAGGAATGGAGGATTCTACCATACAAATTTACAATGTCAGGGTTGATGAGGTAACCGTTCTTGCATTTAGTCGAGGAGTTTGTGCACAGTGGCACCTTTGCAACTTATAATCTCATTTATAAGTATATTAGTCATTCCCAATTGTATCCTATTTAACTGCTCCGTTCTGTTATGAGTTCATCACTTAACTAAGTTTCCTAAGTTTTTTTCAACTTGTTATTCTTTTGTTTATCACCTGTTTCCTTTTTTTTCCTTTTCTTGTTCTTTCTTGTACAATCTTCTCCTCTCTCTATGGAAGGAGAAAATGTTGATTACAATGGTTTTCCCAAGTCTCATGATGCTGGCATAGTGTTAACGAGGTGATATCTTCTCTTACATGGACACGCACATACTAAAGGTGAGAAAGGATGCCACCTTCTTATTGGATTATTCTGATTGCTTTGTTTTATATCATGCCTGCATGGTGACATGGTACAACTATTGTAACCAATACTTTCTCCTATGGAAGGGAAAGATGGAAAGAAAAGGTCTGCATGACTGAAGGATTTTGCTAAGCATAGATAGACCACTAGGTGATGAATGTTACAGTTTGAACAGTGAAGATATTGTAAAATAAGAGCATAAGGGTGCCAGTTGATTGTAACCACATAAAAAGCCTCCATGAGACCAATAAAATACATATTGTAATTTTTCTTGATAACAGTTTAATCATAGACACTTTCCTTTGGAGGGTGTGTAAGTTGTAATATTGGTTGAACACTGAAGGCCATTTCCCAGTTATGATTTGGTTCATCTTAATAGATAAATGGAGTGCTTCACTGGGTATTAAGCCTAAGTCTTGGCATATCTGAACAAACTTGGTGCTTTTGAGCTCTGCTCCTCATATCAGCATCAGAGCATGTCCCATGTAGACGAAGTGTGTTAGACTAAGTTAAATAACGTTATTGTTGAGGGTATTAAAGTGTAACTGCTTAGGGTATTAAAGTGTAATTATCTGTCCTATATATAGGGCACGTATTCTGTCTTTTATATATACAATAAAATCAATAAATTCAAGGTTTGATTTGGTATCAGAGCCAATCAAATCCCTTCTTTTTCTGGCTTCAATTCAGCCGACAAAACCTCCAGCCTGACCGACGTAACTTCCGGCGGCACCAATCCCAACCTCCGACGGCCTTCAGACAGCCAACGCAACCCCCGACAACTCCTCCAACTGTCACAAACCTCCAGCGGCATTCTTCCAGCCGTCACCTCTTCCAAGCTACTATGGCCGCAATCATAACTCTCACAAATCAAGAGAAAACAACCCATAATTCTCACAAGTTTGCCTTCACCCTAAAACCCACGAACTATGGCTATTGGCGATCAATGGTCAAATCTTTTCTTACCTCTCACAATCTTTTTGGCTACATTGATGGCACTATTCCCTGTCCAGAATCGAAGGTTACAAACGGATCTGCTACAACTGACAATCCAAGCTACCAACCATGGGTCTCCAACGACGCTCACATCCGTATGCTCATCATCTCTACTGTGTCAGAAGAGTCCTTTCAACATATTCAGGGCAAAACATCTCGAGAGATATGGCTGTCTTTAGAACGAGCGTATGCTCCKGTTACTTCATCCCATGAATTTACTCTTAAAAATCAATTACTTCGAATCACCATGAAGGGTRATGAAAAACCTGCCGAATACCTCATTAGAGCACAAGAATATGCAACTGCTCTAGCCAATATAGGCGAACCAATGAAAGACAAAGATCTGGTTATGCTAACCCTAGCAGGGCTTCGTGAAGAATACAATGGTCTCAAAGCAAACCCCTTGGCTCGCTCCCCTCCTGTCAACTTCAATGAATTGCATGGTTTATTAAGTGACCATGATTATATGATTACAAGGATCTTGGCAACAAATCCGCAAGTTCCCCAGGCTCTCTTTGCGACTGCCTCTTCTGCTYAGCAGCCTCTTACGGCTGCCTCTACACCACTACAGCAGCCCAATTTCGACTCCATTCAACAACAACTTCATAATCTTCAACTCATGGCTTCCCAATTGGGATATCAACTGAACCCTGCAACTTCATCACGACCACAGGCTTATTTTGAATCCCGATCTTTCAATAACAACCGTGGTGGTCGCGGTTCTCGTGGATCTTCACGTGGTAACTAACGACCTGCTTTCAACTCTCGTAATCGTGATAGTAATGGCACACGTCAATTCTCTTGGGCTTCTACTCAAAACATGGTGTATGGTCATTGTAATCGCTGTGGAATTGGTCACCTACCCTCTCAGTTTCCTAACCAGCCTAACCAATCCCGTGCAGCGCCACAGGCCAACTATACTACTTACTCTGATGCTGGTTCGCAATCAGGATCTACTTGGAAGCCCGACACTGGCGCAAATCACCATGCCACTCCAGATTTATCTAGCCTTGACAACTCCGAGGCCTACTTTGGTAATGATTCTTTACTTGTTGGTAACGGTAACTCTATACCCATCTTTCACATTGGCTCCTCAAAAATTTACTCCCCTAACAAAACCTTTAAATTATCCAATATACTTCATGTCCCTGAACTAAAACAAAACCTTTTATCCGTTCAAAAATTTTGTGTCGATAATCATGTTTTCTTTGAATTTCACTCATCTTATTTTGTTGTGAACGACGAGTCTACACGCACTATCCTCCTAACGGGCCCCAGTGAACAAGGACTGTACTCCATCCGTCTTCCTACACTCAAGTCTTTACCTAAAGTTGCATTTACTGCTGTCAAAGCCTCCTCGAACATTTGGCATCAACGCTTGGGTCATCCTCATGCTCAAGTTTTTCGTTCAATTATTTCTCATTGTTCTTTACCTGTTTCGGACAAATTATCAAATAACTTGTGTTCTGCTTGTCAACTAGGGAAATCCTCAAAACTATCTTTATCCGATTCAAATTTTCATAGCAATAATCTTTTGGATCTTGTTTATTGTGATGTTTGGGGCCATTCGCATACACCATCCTTCGATGGTCATCGTTTCTTTTTGTTATGTGTTGATCATCACTCTAGACATATGTGGTTTTACCCTTCAATTCAGAAATCTGATGTTTATACAGTCTTAACAAACTTTATTAAAATGGCTGAACGCCAATTTAACACCAAGTTAAAGTGTATTCAGTCCGATTGGGGGGGAGAGTTTCGACCTCTAACTACTTTCTGCCATAACCTTGGCATAATTCATCGCCGTTCTTGTCCCCATACAAGCGAACAAAATGGCATTGTAGAACGTCGTCATCGTCATGTTGTCGAAACTGGACTCTCACTCCTAGCCCAATCCAGTCTTCCTCAACGCTTYTGGCATTTTGCTTTTCAAACCGCCGTATACTTAATAAATCGATTCCCCTCTCGTGTCTCGTCCAACAAATCTCCCTATGAACACGTTTTCAAACGCAAACCTGATTACTCCTTTCTTCGAGTCTTTGGATGTCAATGTTTTCCCTATCTTCGTCCGTATAACCATCACAAGATTGATTTTCGTTCCACTCCGTGTGTCTTCCTTGGCTACAGTCCTGTTCACCATGGTTACCAGTGCCTTGATCCTTCCACTGAACGGATATACATAGCCAGACATGTTCGTTTCAATGAGCATGTTTTTCCCTATCAACCACCTACTTCTACCCACTCCATCCCAACCCGACTCTTCATACATATCTATTTTCCCTACCCCACCACCCGGTTTTCCAACCGAACCCAACTCACCACCACCACCACCTTCCATACCACCTCCACAACCCGAAACAACCCCACCACCATCTCCACAACTCGATACAACCCCACCAACCTCACCCTCCCAAACCCCTAACCCCGGGTCCTCACCAGACCCGAATCCCGCCCCCACTCACTCACTTCCAGCCCCTCGGCCTCGGCCTCCTAACCTTCGTCCCAACCCTAAACCCACCACCCGATACGCTGCCTACACTGCTACCACTACCCCTACCTTACCTATTGAACCTACCTCATTTACCGTTGCCAACAAGTCCCTAGAATGGCGCCAAGCAATGGCTGAAGAGTTGACTGCGCTTCATCGAAATGGCACGTGGACATTAGTTCCCCCTGTTCCTAATACTAACGTGGTTGAYTGTAAAYGRGTTTACAGGTTGAAAACAGATGCGAATGGAAAKATTAGCAGGTACAAGGCCCGGCTTGTTGYCAAGGGCTTCCATCAACAACATGGAATTGACTATCACGAGACTTTCAGCCCAGTAATCAAACCTGCTACTATCAGAACCGTGTTATCACTGGCCGTCACAAATAAATGGTCTCTACGTYAGTTAGATATCCAGACTGCMTTTTTACATGGTGATCTTCAAGAGACYGTTTACATGCGCCAACCTCCTGGTTTTGTTGATCCTAACAGGCCAGATCATGTGTGCTTACTGAACAAGTCGTTATATGGGATCAAACAAGCTCCTCGTGCCTGGTTCACAAAATTGTCTACTGCTCTTCAACAACTGGGGTTTTGTGGGTCTAAAACTGACCCTTCTCTCTTCATTCTCAACTCTGATGACACGCTCGTTTATCTTCTTGTATATGTCGATGACATTATCATCACCGGTAACAACCCAGCTRCCGTAACTACYATCATTRATCGTCTCAACTCTCYATTTGYTCTTAAAGATCTGGGCCAACTGCATTATTTCTTGGGCATTGAAGTGGTACACCATGGTTCTGATTTACTTTTGTCTCAACGAAAATATATTCTTGATATTCTTCACCGAGCTGGTCTTGCGGATTGTAAACCTATTTCATCTTCTATGAGTACCTCTCAAGTACTCTTACTCGATGACAGTCCCTTGATGATCCTTCTCGGTTTCGGCAGACAGTCGGGGCCCTCCAGTATGTCACTTTATCTCGTCCAGATATTGCCTTCGCAGTTAACAAGGTGTGTCAGTTCATGCATGCTCCGACTGAAAATCATTGGGCTGGTGTCAAACGAATCCTGCGTTGTCTAAAGGGCACGATCAACCTCGGTCTATTGTTTCGTTACAACACGGGGTCTCGACTTCAAGCCTTTTCAGACTCTCACTTGGACACTAATCTTAGAGCCTTCTTAGACTCCGACTGGGCAGGCTGCCCTATCGATCGTCGATCCACGGGGGGATATGCTATCTATTTGGGTTCAAACCTTATTTCATGGTCTGCTCGCAAACAACGAACTGTCTCTCGATCTTCAACCGAGTCTAAATACAAGGCTATTGCTGACACTGTAGCAGAACTGATTTGGTTAAAGTCCCTTCTTCATGAACTCGGTTTGATTTGCAAGGCACCCACACTTTGGTGTGATAATCTTGGCGCAACTTATCTTTCTGCAAATCCAGTCTTTCATTCCCGCACAAAGCACGTTGAAGTCGATTCTCACTTTGTTCGTGAACAAGTTGCTCAAGGAAAATTGAATGTCAAGTTTATCTCCACTGATGACCAGATTGTTGATGTTTTTACAAAGCCCTTGTCTTCACAAAGATTTGAGTTTCTACGGTCCAAGTTGCAGGTCGTTCCCTGCCCTCAACTTGCGGGGGAATGTTAGACTAAGTTAAATAACCTTATTGTTGAGGGTATTAAAGTGTAATTGCATAGGGTATTAAAGAGTAATTATCTGTCCTCTATATAGGGCACGTATTCTGTCTTTTATATATACAATAAAATCAATAAATTCAAGGTTTGATTAAGTGGTAGCAAGTTATGGTGATAAACAAATAGTTTATCTGCTAAGCACATGGCTCCATGTGAAGCTTTTGATCCAGTTTTCTTCTCGGTGCCTGAAACTCATTGGCATCTTAATGTAATGTCCATCCAATGGTAGAATCAGCAGTAGCCTTCACCAAAAAAGCGCGTGCAAACCCATGAAATGAGAAGAATGATATGGGGTAAATTCTCTGTTAGGGTTTGGGGTATTTTGAAGATGAAAGATTCTTCTTGATGATGCTAAGTGGTCTTATCTAGACAGTGGACGGGTCAATCCATATCTACAAGACCGCTTGGTAGAGTAGCTGTACATGATTTTTTCTTTTAACCTCTCGTCTAGTGTGGTGATACTTGGAGGTGCGGTGCCCATGGTTGCTTTAGCTTAATTTTGATGGATCCATTCTCATAAGAACTGCTAGATGCAGTGCACCTTGCTTTCGTTCTGTACCTTGGAAAGGTTGGGTTTGATTCATCATTTTGGTCTTACCATCTATTGTCATCTTTGGTTTGGGATCATGATTACGCTGAAGACTCTTAAGTGCATGTCCGTTTGAATCCTATTGAATTGTTTTTACTTATTCACACCTTTCCTGTTAAAACTGTACTGTTCTACTTACCCCTGATGATTTTAATAGGTAAAAATTAAGCTCAAAGGTCATCAAAAGCAGATTACTGGACTTGCTTTTTCACAGACTTTAAATGCACTGGTTTCATCTGGAGCTGATGCTCAGGCAAGTGGTGGATGAAGTAGATTGAATTTTCTGTTTCCTTAAAAGTTTTTTTCCTGCTGTTGTGGGAGTTAGATAATATTCTGGAGAAAATATATTCAATTCACGTTTTTTGTTCCTACTCTGCATGCCTGTATTGCTTTCTGGTACTGTTAGGGGAGATTAACTAATACCATATTTGCATGTTTGGACTGGATTATGACAGCTATGTATCTGGAATATTAATGGATGGGAGAAGAGGAAATCAAGAAGCATACAGTCACCACCTGGCCATCCATCCTCACTGGTTGGAGAAACTAAAGTTCAATTCCACAATGATCAACGCCATGTTCTTGTTGTACATGAAAGTCAAATTGCTATTTATGACTATCAACTGGAATGCTTGAGATTGGTAAATAGTCTGATCTCAACCCTTATTTAAATTTGGATCTTTAGTCCAACATGTAGCAGCAGGACATGATTGTGCCATATCCAGATACCTTCTTTTTCCCTCTCATTTTTTAGCTTCGATTTTTTCTTCTTCTAGTTTTCCTTAAAGATTTTTATCAGTATCCTAAAAGGGCATGTTTGCTTCATAGTCTGAATATTGTTTTATCTTGATATTTGCTAGAATTTGTGTTGGTCTCAGCTCTCTCTTTCCTTTTTTTCTCTACAGATGAATCATGTTTGTTTTAACTTCACACTATTCTTTGTTATTTTTTAATTCCTAGACCTTTTTGCCTACAAAAAACTAAATTAGTTTCATCTTCTGTCCAGGGTTAATATTGACGATTTGCATGTTTCACAACGTTTTTTTGTCTAATTCATTAAATTATTTTTCTTGCAGTGGTCTCCAAGAGAATCTCTTTCTGCTCCAATTTCAAGCGCTATATACTCATGCGATGGCTTGCTATTATTTACTGGATTTTCGGATGGTGCTGTGGGAGTTTTTGATGCAGACAGTTTGCGACTTCGATGTCGAATAGCACCTTCTGCCTACATATCCTCATCAATTTCCAGGTATGCCACAAAAGAGGAACTTGAAAATGCTTATATAATCCCAGAAGCACAAGAAAGTGGTATTCATAGAGTTGTCGTTAATATTGGTCTAGTTTTCTCCCCTAGGCTGCTTACCACTATTTAAAACAAAAGCGATAATCGGAAGTTATACATATAGCACCTCACAGCAAACAATTACGGGTTGCTGAACAAAGCGAAGGATCGTGTGAGAAGGGAAGTTATGGTGAGAAGCGTAAGAAGAGATTTGAACACTTTTAATCTCATGCCCATCCATGAACTGCGCTTTAGAATTGTATTGATCTGATGCATCCAAGTGCACTTCATTAGCGTTGACATTCAATTAGGATTGATTGAAGGGTGGAGATCTCTTCTCACCATAACTTCTCCTCACCGGAACCCAACCTTGCTGAACAATATATTCTTCATGTTCAATTTCAGTAAGACGTAATATGCTATTTAATCTTCCCACTAGAGAAGCAACTTATACCAGGAAGAGGGGTAAGCCAAAATTCACACAGGTATAAATAGTGAAGAGAGGTTTGGCTGACCAACTTTAGCAAAGGAGCTGCGTTGGGTAGGAAATTCTGAAGTTATACCTGCTGACAATTCCAAAATGTTTTTTATTTTCTATATTTTAAAAGTTTTAAGTAATCAAATTTTTGCTGGTAGTGGAATAGTTCTTTGGTATAAATTTGAAGTTGTAAAGAAACAACTTATTGGACACGTTAAGTTAAATATGAAATAAACCAATCCAAACCAAACGAACCCATTACATCTCTTACAGCGCTAGAATCTTATTGTTTTGGGCGGGAGATGTATGCAGACCTTGCCTCTACCCTCAAGCGTAGAGAAGTTGTTTCTGTGGAGACCATCGACTTGCAAAACTGAAGCAAAAAACAAAGAGACATTCATCTAAGGCTAGGGTTTAGGAGGTTGTTTCACACATATTTGTTTTGCAATGTGAAACTTTCTTATGTCTAATTTTTGTTTCACAATATGAACCAACAAAAAAGTATTACATGTATTGTTTCAAAATGTGAACCAACACATATGTGGAACAATACTTGAATCCTAGCCTTAAAATGAAAAAAAAATTATCATGTGAAACAATATCTTGAGATTGGTTCCTTTTTGTGGTTCCATTTGATTATGCCTAACATAGTACATATGAACTCTTTTCCTGAAAAGGAGGGAGTATACGTGCTCACACACACACACACACACACACACTGTGTGCATAACATTAATAATTTCCTTCTAAAAATAATTCCCTCTGTGATCTTTCTAAAACCATTAATATGCAATGAAACTTGAACTTCCTCTTACCAATGCAGTTGCCAACAACTGACGAACATATCGTGTAGTTGAAGTTCTAGTACTTTCTAGTGTCATCATGAGATCGGTCCTCACTATCTGAATGCATTGTTTAGCAAAATTAAAAGCTGATGTTGGGTTAATCACACGTTTTCTTTTGGCAGCAGCAACAGCACTGCGTATCCTGTGGTTATTGCAGCCCATCCATCCGATTCTAACCAATTTGCTCTTGGAATGAGCGATGGTTCTGTTCATGTTATCGAGCCAGCTGATGCAGACCCAAAGTGGGGTGGGTCAGCACCTCAGGAAAATGGAACTCTGGCGTCATCCAACCCTTCAAATTCTGCGATGAATAGTCAGCCATCAGAAACGCCGTCCAGATAAAGGTACAGAATATAATAGCTGGTTGATGGATGATGGTTTTAAACCTTAGCATAGTATTGTAAATTTTAGATTTACAGTTTTGTACTTTTCCTTGATAGAGAAATTAAGAAATATGAGGTGGCTTACTTAATTACTTGCTACCTTAAAAAGGGGGTTTCAATCAGCCTTTTTTCCTCTTCATAATTGTTGCATCGTATCTTTGTTTCAATCAATTTTCAAGCGCTTGTGGTTGGTGTCGGTTTTTATTATTTAATGGGTTCCCGGTTGGACCATTCTTTTAACCGATTCTCTTATAAAACTGCATTAACTGGTCTGCACCTACTGGTGGAATATTGTGATAATATATCACATGTTACTTATGCTGCACAAATGGAGAACAGAGGCCAAGTATGGGGAACCGGGCGGCTAGAGCCGTGGCTTGGGCTGTGTCTCATGTCACATCACACGCCTCTCTATCCATGTTGCGTTTCAACAGTGGCTCCCATGACCAGACCGGCGCCTTCACCTGCACCTCTTCCGGCACAAGCCTCTGGAGTCACATGTGACTTTTGGAGGCGGGGGCATTTCATGCGGCTGAGGACTCATCGATAATGGAATCACGCAAATCCTTGTGCTATTTGGTGGTGAACATGTTTAGATGCTTAGATCTTGCATATATCTTCTTGTATTTGCATGTGGTTAGTATCTCTTCATTTGAGCTAGTTTGCAATATCTTGATTATTGTTATCTTTGTGCACTTGGATTTCAATTCTACTAGCTTTGGGACCATATAAACCATTTGTGTAGTTACATATTTGGCATATTTACCCTTGCACTGATGTAGTATTAAAGATGAAGAACTTGAAAGAGAATAACCTTCAAAAGAACACCAACAAGGACACAAAGAAGTAGAGGACCTGACTCAAATCAAGAAGATTCAAGAAATCTGAAACCCTAATGCATGTAAAATGGGGACTTAAATGAATTATAATGCATGATCTTGACAACTAATTAACAACATAAATGCAATGAAAGTAAATAAATATTTAATATGGTTCGACAATGAGTGTAAGAGTTAACATCCACTTGGTGTAGAGAGAGAGAATTTGTATATATCATCGATTTTCTTTTCTTTGTTTTTTCAATTGTCTCTCATGTCTGATATATACATATGTATATGTATAGGTGTATGTATGTATGTATATGTATGTAGATGAACAATCAAATGCAAACCATCTTTATTTGTACAAACCGTGTAAATTATCCTCATTCTTGATTTCATTGTTTAATCTTAAGAAATTGTTTCATGTAATACTTTTTTTAATGAAGTTGTTTCATATATGGTTATTAAATTGTTTCATATAAAACTTATAAAATTTTAATGAAATTGTTTCATGTAATTTTCTAAAATTAATGACATTGTTTAAAAGAACGGTAAATATTTAAAAGAACACGAAAATATTTAAAAGAACACGAAAATGGGCAAATCACATGTGATTTTACACTAGAATCATATATAAAATCACATGTGATTCAGGCTTGTCCAATGATCTGGACACTTTTTTTGACCATTAATATAAAATAAAATGTGATTTTATACGTGATCTACCTATTTTTACGCTCTTCTAAATATATACCATTTTCGTTTGATCTTGACACTCTCTTTCTTTATAGAGAGAGAGAGAGAGATTCCATTAAATTGTTGAAAAAGGTAAATTGAGAGGTAATTTTATTGGGTTAAAAAATTGTGATAACCAATATAAAAAAATTCATTAATTTTTTTATAAAATAATTTAAAATTTTAATCATTTAAAATAAGAAAATACGCTAATTTATTTATTTAAAAAAATGGAAAAATCCATGATTTTTTTTTTTTGGATGTAAATCAACAAAAGTTTCGAAGGAGCCCAAAATCCCAAAACTGCCACACCTGCAGTTGGCGCCCAATATAAAGTCGCGACTTTTGAGGAAGGAAGAAAAGAGCAAAGGAATGGAGCCTGAAGACCGATTTGAGCTTCTGTTTCCGTTCGAGAACGGCGCCGGCGACGTTGCGTCTCACGGTGACCTCACCCGGTTCCAAATCCTGCTATGGCGACCCGCCTTCTTCTTCTAAAATCGAACTTCAGGTGCGTATCTGATTGTGTTATTGGTGTCAATTTTCAACAGCTTCAGTATTTGAAATTTAGTCCTAGGTAGTTTTTAAGTTCTCATTGTCCGTTGTGATGCCGTTTACGAGTAAGTTCAAGTTTTCATTTGAAATTAAATTGGTTTGGCTAGATCAATTTGTCCTTTTCATCTGTATTCAAAATTGCCATTGTTTAATAGGCTGAGTAGTTAAGTTGCAGCTGTTTTGTCGTTCTAGGCACAGAAAGATATATGTATATCTATACTATATTATAAAGCATTTGGCTAAAACTCTTAAAAACTCTTAAACTCTTAAAACTCTTAAACCCGTTCATCCCTAAACAATTTCATCCCTATCCGATTTCATCCTATA